TTTTAGGAAAGCAAATGGTTGTTGGAAAGGGCAGAACATCGTCTGCCTGGCCAGCTAGTATATTATATTATGCTAATAATTTTTTTTTAATTATAATATTACTAATAAATGTGATAAAGAAGGTGTAAGTTACAACTCTTTTTCATTATCTTTACTTTTCAATGAAATTTTCACTCATATAATTTATACTAAAACTAGCTGATACGCGCGATTTCGTCCGCGTTGCTTGATATATTAACAAAGTTTTCGTATGTGCGAAGGAAAAAACATCAAAAAGATAAAATTTCTTTGTAAACAATGTTGTTCGTTGCTCCGTTTGTAGCAAAAATATATAAATTATTTGGCTTAGTAACGCTAGGGCAAGCGACGTACCATGTGAAAAACCCCGTAAAAAAATCGTTATTTCTTAAAACTTTATATCAAATGAAGACATCGCAAAATTTTTTTAGATAAGGGCCAAATGTCTAAGAAATAAAACTTAGAAAACATAAAACATAAACACTCTCGCCTGTCACGTAGAGGATTAGGTAGAGGCTATGGACTTCCATTTGGCACGATCCTGACACACCTCTCTCACTTCCTCCACATCCATATACCTACGCATACAGGCTCATCGGTTAAAAGTACTCTTAACTTGGCCCATTTTCAATATATCACCAATTTGATCGATAAACTTTCGCCTAGAGTGCCCTTCCCGACTCTGCCGTTCACCTCTGCAACATAAATTTGCTTTGTCACTCTTTCCTCATTCATTCTTTCTACATGACCAAACCACCGAAGCATTCCTTTCTTAATCCTGGTCACAAACATCATCCTGTAAACCACATTCTTCTCTTATCAAACAATTTCTCACCCTGTCATTCAGATTCATCCCTAACATACTCCTTAATGACCGCATTTCTACAGCACTTATTCTACTCTACTTAGAAAACCTAATTGAAATCTATCCAGTAGTTTTTTCCTTGATGCGGGCACAACTGCAAACCTCTATCATTTTATTTATATAGTTAGTGCGATTTATCGATTAAGAGATTTGGAGTTTGTACGAGGGCCACAGGGTATAAATGGATAGAGTCACGCGAGTTAGCAAATTTTTTACAGCGTTTTAATTATTTTTATAAGTGATTCTTAAATTAACTATTTATCTAGTTAATTTTAAGTTTGTAGTTTGGTTTAATTTTTAGTTGTTAATATACACGAATGTTTTGCACTGGACTTAATATTAATAACCAAGACCTATTATCAAATTGCAGCTCTTTGAAACTACTGGAAATGTGTTACATAATAAGCACCATAAATTGACAAATATTTGAGTGTTTTTTTTTTGGAGTTTATGGCCTGGCATCTAGACCTTTAGGCCATATTTGAGTGTTAGTAAATATAATTCACAGATGAAAAAACTGTAAAACAAGAACTTCATCAGTTTAAAAAGTGACTTTTTAATTCGTTTAATTTTAAGAATTTGGGGATGTGATTTCATAACCAATATGAATAAATTTATTAACGCGTTAAGCTCGAGTTCGACTCATTTTGACTACTGAGGGAAAAAGTTAATGGTTTCTTAAAAACCTTAATATGCGAGTTTAATTTAAAACAAAGAATGCTAGTAACGCTATTAACATTACTAAATAAGGTGTTTTTACTCGTTTTACACCTAAGTGTTAAACACTTTAAGTAAACTACAAATGCTTGAAGTGGTTCACGTACAGTAGTCGAATGACGTAGGTATTCAAACACACGACTCCGAGTTTCCAGACCGCATCTTTAACCACTGTGAGTTTTTTGCAATGCAATACGATAAAAATCAAGAATATTCTTTCCATTAAATACTCGTATTATGATTTTATACAAAAAGGCGATAAATCTAATAACACATTATGTAACTGATTTTTATTTCTTTTTCCCTATCTAATCCTAGTACGTGGTAGAGCCACGCTGCAGCCATATTAATTGTATAGTTGTAGCACGAGTGGGCTGGCTCGACCGGGGAAGGACCACGCTCTCACAGAATACCAACGTAAAGTAGCAGATTAATGCTGCTGTGTTTCGTATGGTGAGTGTAGAGAACCGGAGACCCTTTTTACTGGAATAGAGGCATTCTATAGTCCTCATGGCTGACAACGAATCTTTATTTTAATTCACAAACGAGGATAGATGTAGATGTCTATGGGCCAGTAACCATAAACCATCAGGTGGACTGGGTGTTCGGTTGTCATCCATATCTTATAAAAAAATCTATGCTTGTGCTTCACTACAATCCCACCTGACTATTATTATAGTCGTTACTATTTTTTCAACGTATAGAGCACTGGCTTAGATTATTAAAAGCTAAAAAGATTTATTAAGGAGTTTTCATTTGATTACAACATAAACATTGTAAAAATACATACAATACACATAAAAATTTTAAACTCTGATTACTTCAACTCACAGCGCCATCTAGACGAGAGTAAAAGCAAATGTGGAACGCCATCTGGTGTCGAATTGATCAGGTCACTGTCGCTATCTAGCGTTGAATAGAATAACTTAAAATAGTTATTTTTATTTTACAGATTACTTAAGAATAATAGTTAAGTAAAGTTATATCTCATTAATTCGTATTTCATAGTGGCGGTATTGAATGTTTTATATATTTAATTACTATAGGTAATAAATTTAATAAATTTCCTAAACGTTACAAAAGTTTTATCAATGAGGGTTAATAATCTTTCGTTCATCAGATATCGCGTGTACGGGCTGAGATGAAAGTTTTTGTTACACAATGTCATTTTTTGAGAAGTTGTGTTTTAAATAAAATATTATTTGTTTCTAGAGTATTAGATAAATACACAATACAATTCTGTGGTTTATTCCTTAATGTTTATAACACTTTTTAACTTCTTTTTTTTCTACTTTTAGGAATATCTGTAGTTTGGTTTATTCATTTCTAATCTAATTTAAATAAAATATAACTAATATTACAAAAATCAACATTCTCTTAACAAATTAACTTCCCCGCTATGCGCTGTGTAATTTATCAAATAGTAGCTAATTGTGGAAATATCCTTTTAAATTTGGAAGTGTTACGAGTATATTGTTTAATTAGGAATCATAATACATTCATTGAAATTAAATGATATATAACTATCGAATAAATTTGTCAGTACGGCACGCACGCCACCTATCGTAACTTAGTTGTAATATTCCTATAACCTTCTTCGTTGATGAGCGGCATGGCAGCGCATAAAATACGGACAAACAAAAATTAATTTCTATTAAATTTATTAGATTTCACCTCGTTTCTCAGTGGTGCTGTCCTGGTGGCAAAAACAATCGTGAATTGTCCATTGTGAATTGAACATTGTCCATTATCAATCATGTCATTGGTGGATGGGGATATATTGAAATATTAAAGCTTTTTTCACTGCCGATATCCATCTTATGCCCGGTTTCTGAAAGTTCCCAGTACGTAACATACTGTCAGTGTGTTTCTGAATACACAACGAACCGCTCATTATCTATCTAATGTAACCAATAAACAGTTACCTAATCTGCCGCTAGATAGGTCTCATTACGAGATCAAGTCTAAAATTAGTTTTATATAATTCTTGTAATAATATTTTTTCGAGGATAATAAATACTTAATAATACGTATGTAGATGTAAAAAATTTCAAAGACGTAAACGAAATCTTTGACCTTAGATTATTGATAGGTCTTCGCGCGCTCAGACCGCTCGATGACCTATTATTAATCTATGACGATGTTTTTTTAAGAAAAATACACAAGCATGTGTTTTGTTTTTAAAGATAACTTAATTATTGTTTTTGTTTCCTATTGGTAAGTATTATTTTTTTGCTATACCGTAGGATTTTAAATTTAGTGCTCTCTGCATTCGCTTGTGGACCTATATTTTGTTTACACCTTTGTAATTTTTTACATCTAGTACCTACGTATTATTTACGTATACGTTTTGTAGTTAGGTAAGTTTAGTAGATATCAATCATTGCACATCCATTATAGGCTATATTATATAGCAAAAAAAGAATAAATGAAACCTTTCTTCGCAACAAAAATGTCAAAAAGAAAGAATAAGCTCAGTTTTGACCATTCTGTCATGTTTGATTATAATTGTTATCTTTTGTATAACCAAAACTGTTAATTTAAAATAACTTTATTTTATTATTATGTACAGACGAAAAATTCTACGAAATGTGAGTAATTTTATGTGATAGTTTTAGTTCATAGATTTTTTTTTATTTTAATAAATATTGTTTACATTATGATACTTAGACAGATGCTTAAAGCTTTAATTAATACCAATCTAAAAAAACACAAAATGTAAATGATTCACATGTACTTCAATTTAAAGTCTATTTATAGAATTTACATGCTCGCAAACAAGGCTCCGAAAATAAAATATTGTTTTGAAAATTTTGGAGTTACATCTTACTTTGAAGAACCAATATCAAACAATTTTCTATTTATATTGGAATTTTAATAAAGATAATATAGTAATGAAATGAAAAAGAGTTTCTCAAATAAAAGTAATAAAACAAGTTATTTTTTTGTAATTTTATTGAATTCTATAAAAACCTATCAACTGAAGTTGGAACCACGCTCAATTGACGGATTTATATTCGGATTATCTTCCATGTAAAATTATAATAATATTAAATGTATACCTACTCCTATCCTATACTTATTCAAGTTTTATTATAAATGAAATTCATATTAAAACTGTCTTTAGTGTAAACTATTCGTTCCACGACTTATGTATGCCGATTTCAAAATGAAAAAACTTGTTGTCGTAGTAAACTGTTGAACCAATATTTTGTTTTGTATCTAAATTTCTAATTATTTGTGTACTTTCTGCACTGTAGTAGGCACGGTTCGTTAGAGAAAAAGAAACGTTTTTAATTTTTTTTATGGTGTGTATCAAATCTGTACCTACTAAGTTTTTTTTATTATATATAAATGTATAATTGAATAATGAAATAATCTTTTCACTCAGTTATTACAATTGAAGCTTACATCGAAAGCACTAATTTGTACAAATCTGCGAAGACAAATGACGAAGTAAGTTATTATTTTCTGTGTATTTGTGTATTAATAGTTATTTCATTTACCAATAATTATATTTCCATAAACTATGAGGCACATATTATCACCGATTACAATCGAGCAGGGGTACCCAACCGTAGATTGCGAAGCCAGTTTTTTTCGAGCGCTCCCGATGTCTTAATATTGAAATGAGAATACTTATATTGTATTTCCGCCTCATCTTCTTCCTTACGTCCCCCTTAGATTACGCCTACGAACAGCGATTGCGTCACATTTTTTAAGATAAAAAGTAAATCTTATCTACACAAATGATGGCTACCCCTGCAACTGTACAAAAGTTGGTATTTATAATCATCATAAATTAGGTTATATAAGAATCAAAATTGCCAGTTTAAATAAAAGACCAATGACAGTGGCCAGAGATTAAAACCATGTTCTTGTGTTGGTGCTTGTGACAATAAGTCCTGCACAATAATACGAAAAGGTTTGTGTATAAACTTGTACTAAGAGCCTGCGTCAAACAGATACGTATATAATAGGCTGTGATTTTACATCATCAAGACGCAAAAATACACCACAGATAATATTTTAAAACAAATAAATCTAAAATCTTGATAGCCTATATTTATAGGTATATACATAATACGTTACCGTGTAGTGGCGGTGTAAGAATATCCACTACCCCATATTATCCCGTGGGTGACGTAAGAGGCAAGATAGGGACGCAAATCTTACAACAACTAAAAATAAACCGCGGTGGCCAACCTGCTTGCCAAATGTGGCAACTATGGCAAATGTCCCCCCTATGAGACAATCTATGGAGGAGGCCTATATGCTCAGCAGTGGATTTTATTAGGCCGTAACGGTACGAATACGGAACGGTACATAATACATATAATTTCTCACCTCCATTTGGCATCATCCTGACGCACCTCTCTCACTTCATTCACATCCATATATTATCTACAAGTAGGTCGGTCTGGCTCTCCGTGATGCTATATAGTACAGTCTATATTTATTTGTATGCTTAACATGAAAGTTTTATATTGAGAATTATTCAATTTCACAGATGGCAAATAACTTTGCAGTGGAAGACGCCACCCACTTGTGTGGCGTTAAGACGACTGATTCATTTAAATGCTCCTCTACACGGCGTAGAAGAAGTGAAGGCACCCACCTTTCCGGATTCTGTAACTACTGGTGATGTCAAGTAAGTTTCCATTTACTTACTAGAACTAAGAGGCAATTGATTTTTTAAATACTAACTGACTTTTGAATATTAACCATATGTAGTTAAATTGAAACACATAATATGGAACCACGGCAAAAGTACATAAGAATACATGTATAACAACTATGTCAGTAAGTAAAAAGTTGAAAAATACTTTGAAGAAATATTGAAAACGCTCTATGACCGCATCCAGCGCAGAGCGGCCCTGATCGTCGACGACTCTGAGGAATTGTTCGGATTAATCCCAGCCGCCATATTTCATGAACGCACATCACGGCAGAACTCCCGATACCATCCACACCATCTGAATGATTGGCGGTCCACCACTGTGCGATTTAGAAGATGTTTTCTTCCTCGCACAACTCCCTTGTGGAATCAAATACCACCAGCGATTTTTTGCGGACTGATAAGACTTAGGGACCTTCAAGAAAAGAGCCTACTCCTTTTTAAAAGGCCGGCAACGCATTATCAATTCCCTTGGTGTTGCAGTTGTTCATGTGTGGTGGTAGTCACTTACCATCAGGTGAGCCGCATGCTTGTTTGCCCCCTCTCCTATAAAAAAAAGCAGTGAGCCACATGCTCGTTTGCCCCCTCTCCAAAAAAAAATCGTCCAAAAAAAAAACTAAAACAATAACGGGCAACAAAAATAAAACTAAATTAAAAACAATAAACAACAAATTACCCCGTCTCCATGAGCTACTCCAAATAAAACTATATGTTTTCCAGGTTCATTAAAAAAGAAGGTGATGCAGTTGCAATGGATGAGGTGGTGCTTGAAATAGAAACAGACAAGACCGCACTACCAGTTATGGCACCTGGCCACGGAAAAATTGTCAAGATGCTCGTAAAGGAAGGCGAGGCGGTTAAATCACAGCAGCCACTGTTTCAGGCAAGTGCACTAACGACTAATAAACACGGCACTAGAAGTCATAGGCGTACATTACGTACGTATGACCTATGTATACACAAAAGACTAATTACATGTGTTTTTCAATTTTAGACAGTAATCAACCCAGTAATGATTTAAACATTCAAATACATATCTATGATTGTGATAGGGATGCTAACTATCGCTGTCCCTCTATATCTAAAGTAGCATCAACTAAATATCTTGGTATTATGCTAGACCAAAAACTTTCCTGGCAGTCGCATATTGATCTCGTCGCGACTAGAACACGTAAGCTGATGTGGATTTTTAAAATGCTGAGACATGTTGCCGACAAGAAACTTATCAATCAAGTGTATATGGCATTAGCTCAACCCATATTAACTTACTGTCTGACAGTTTGGGGAGGGGAAAAAAACTACAATACACAGAAACTGAACTTCTTCACGTATATATTTTGTGTCAATCATAATTAACATACTTATGATAAAGATAAGTTGTATTTGTTACCTAATTCTTCATTTATACTTGTAAATACCACAAATGTGATATGGAAGAGTGGCTCCTTCTGACACAGGTGCAAATGCACTTAAAAGAATGAGTCAACCTATGTTCTAGATTTAAAAAAAACTTTGTTAAAGAAATAAACTTTTATTATTATTATTATGTATCGTGATTATCCATTATCAATATAAGCCGTAGTTATTATGTAAGGGTGTGTGTGTACCTGTGTATGTATATGTGTATGTGTATATGTATATATTGATACTATTAATTTGTTATATTTGAGAGTGTATATTTGTATTAAGAATTTTTTTTGCATGTTAGGAAATAAGAGAGCATTTTTCTTGCGCCAACAAACTGCTGAGCAGTTTGGCAGCCTGAAAAACTTTAATAGAGTAAATTTAAATAATTATGTTAAAAAAATAAATAAATAAAAAGCTATTACAAAGTTCACCTGATGGTAAGTGGATGTTGTGACCCATAGACACGCACTCAACTCAAAGGTAGACTCAAAATGCAGATGCGTTATCACCTCTGAGTACTGAGATGGAATGCCTCGTAAAAAGAATCACCGGTTCCCGTCACTCTCCAAACGAAACAGAGCAGAAATATCTTTGTCTTAATAATGGTATTTTGTGAGAGCGCGATCTTTTCCTTATCGAGCCGCTATAATCTTCGCAGCTTTATTGATGACTTCTTCTCTTTGAGTCCGTATGGGATCTGGGATCTGGGTAGATACCACCCTCTTACCTACTTTTGCCGTCAAATAACAGTGCTTGTAATCCTGTGTTCCGATGTGAAGGTTATAGAGAGCTAGTTTTTTTTTTATAGGATAGGGTGACAAACGAGCACACAGTCCACCTGATGGTAAGTGGTTGCTGTGGCCCATAGACACCTACATGTATTCTCGTTTGCAAATCAAAATGCAGATGCGTTGTCACCCGTGAGGACTATGATGGAATGCCTCGTTTCCAGTAAAAAGGGTCTCCGGTTCTCTACACTCACCATACGAAACACAGCAGCATTAAGCTGCTATTTTACGCTGGTATTCTGTGAGAGCGTGGTCCTTCCCCGGTCGAGCCGACCCATTCGTGCTACAACCATACTACTAGTATAGCTACAGCATGGCTCTACGACGTATAAAATTTTAAAAAGTTTAATTGCATTGCATGCATTCCAATTTAGTCCTTAGTAGTCATTACGCATTTGTGGCTTTAAAGGTGGCTGCAGATGTCCATTGACTGCAGTAGCCATAAGCCATAAGACTTTTTTTTATTCTTTTATGTACACACAACACGATACAGAAACAGTCTCATAGTGAGTTCGTACAAAGTTTCTACTTATTCCACAATTTGCTGAAATATCTTCCAGTAGTCGTAGTGACCTACAAAGGAAAATATATTAAAAAGGTTTCGCCCGTTTTTTTTTATTTCACTGCAATACAAGTTCCTCATGATACTCTCCTTCATCGCCGTGTACGTTGTAAGTTGACCTGTAAAATTCCAATTGGAATTCACCTTTAGCGATATTATGGTCGGTACTAGATATATCGCGTACCATAAAACTTAAAGCCAGGGTCCAGCCTCTTGAACTACCATGTTACATTTTTTATCAATTTATTATATTCATCATCATCTTCATCATCGTTACAGCCTATCACAAGTCCACTGCTAAACTTAGCTTCACCCAAGGCATGCCACAAAATACGCCTCACAAATGAGCACACAGTCCACCTGTTGGTAAGTGGTTGCTGTGGTCCATAGACATCTACGTCTATCCTCGTTTGCAAATCAAAATGCATCTGCATTTGATTTGCAAATGAGCATGCGGCGTTGTCAACCTTGATGACTAAGATGGAATCCCTTTTCCAGTAAAAAGGGTCTCAGGTTCTATACACTCACCATACGAAACGCAGCAGCATTAAGCTGTTCCTTCCCCGATCGAGCCGATCCATTCGTGCTACATCTATACTATTAATACAGCTGCAACATTTTTTTTTATAGGATAAGGGTGACAAACGAGCACACAGTCCACCTGATGGTAAGTGGTTGCTGCGGCCCATAGACATCTACATCTATCCGCGTTTGCGAATCAAAATGCAAATGCGTTGTCACCCGTGAGGACTAAGATGGAATGCCTCATTTCCAGTAAAAAGGGCCTCCGGCCACCTGCACTCACCAAACGAAACGCAGAGGTAAACCTCTACTTCACGCTGGTATTCTGTGAGGTCGTGGTACCACCCCGGTTCGAGCCGGCCCATCCGTGCGACAGCAAAAGCTGCCGCGTGGCTCTACCACTGTTGGACTCTACCATGACTCTACCATGTATAATATCATATAAGCATCCATCGACTTCCTCCGTGTCTTACCTTCTCTGACCAGGTCATCACTCCATCTAATGGGAGGCGGCCTTACATATCGCTCACCCAGTAAGAGGCTACTAAATTACCTTTCTTCCCTATAGGTTGTCGATTCTTCGTGCTGTATGGCCGAACCATCACTACTTCGGCTTAGTGATCTATTAGATTATTTAGTATTCTTTTACTATATTACTCTGTTCCCGCTTCTTTATTATCATTAGCCCTTAAAAACTCACTGCTGGACAGGAGCCTCTCCCGTTTTACGAAGGATTTACATTAATCATCACACTTGGCATGCGTTTTGATGACCGCAGTACTAGAATCATGCAGTATTGTACTTATGGCTATATTATACTTTTGGACTTTAGAAGGCTTTCAAAACAATAGGATGATTGCTATAAATCTCGGAGACTATATAATTTCTTAATTTCTATATTTCAGATACACAGTTAATGAAGGAATGTATAATCATTTTCTAATTAAGGAGAGACCCATACACAGTTCGGGAGTAAAGAATGTCGTCAGAAAAAACCTATATGTCTGAGAAACAGTTTATCGACATATGATGTCCTCGACCCGCATCGACATAATTGAAAGCAGGTTATGGCTGCAGTGGGATGTTTATACAATTCTGTCGTTTTCACTTTACAGATTGACGTAACTGGCGTGGCACCGGCGCCAACTGCTGCTGCGGCAAAACCCACGGCGGCACCAGCGGCGCCCGCAGCACCAGCAGCACCAGCACCAGCTGCTGCGGCACCAGCAGCTACCCCTGCCGCCAAAGCCCAAGCCACAAAGACGACGACTCAAATCATCAAAGCACCAGGCGCACCTACGGTAATTTTCTATGAATCCAAGTTACTCATAACACGTTTTGCAATTAAATAAAAAAAGTATTAAAAGTAAAGCGACATTTGCATATATTTCACTGTTAGGATTAGTATCTTCCCATTTTTGAGAGTTTTGAAGCAGTGGCGTAGCAAATTTTAGGGAGTACCAATTTGAGAATGAAAGTCTTTTTTTATAGAATAAGGATAACAAACGAGCAAACAGTCTGCCTGATGGTAAGTGGATGCTGTGGCCCATAGACATCTACATATATCCTCAATAAAGAATCAAATGTAGATACGTTGTTACTCCTGAGGACTAAGATGAAATGCCTCGTTCCCAGTAAAAAGGGTCTCCGGTTCACTACGCTCACCATACGAAACACAGCAACGTTAAGCTGCTATTTTACGCTGGTATTCTGTGATATCGCGGTCCTTCCCCAGTTTAGCTGACCCATTCGTGCTACAACTATACTACTAATATAGCTGCAGCATGGCTCTACCACGTATAAAACTCCCCGCGCTACTTTTTTCGTTGGCAGATTGCGCGGAAACTAAATAAAATAAAAGACAAAATAAAAGAAAAATAAGTGATATCGCTTTTGTATATATAAAAGGTTAATAGTAAATTTATCAAGGATTATTTCGTACCTGTATACTTTTCATGTATCTTGTACGGTTTTCTTTAAACTAGAAAAAAACTATTTTCGTGACATTTACTGGGGGCGCGGGGTTGTGACACGCACCCGGGAGAGGGAGAGAGAGTGGATAAAATTTAACTTCGCTATATAAAGTGCATATGCCGATAGATAAAAGTACTCCATTAATTTTGCCAATTTCTTAGCTAAAATGATTTATCTATTGGGGCTTGCTGTATCAGACATTTTACTCAAATGTTTCTTGCAGTCACCGCCTCTGAAGGTTGTATATTTTTATCGATTTTACAAAATACTGCAGGCGCTTCCGTAATTAATTATTACGACACACAAAGAAATACATGGAATGATGGATTTCTTAACTTTTTTCCGTCTCTTAATTTCTTTCGTTTTACAGCTGGCAGCCCAAAAACTCGCAGACCCAACAAAAACCATATCAGGTTCGCGTACAGAGTTCCCGATTGGAATGAACCAAATGCGCAAACGCATTGCAGAGAGGCTAAAGGAGGCACAAAACACCACAGCTATGTTGACGACGTATAATGAGTGTGATATGAGGTACTTTACTATATACGATATAAACTTGACGAATTACGTGGCTTATGAGAATCTCCGGTCTGCGTTTAGCCCATACAAACATATTTCTCTGTTTTCTCCTGGGACATTAAATTAAATATTTCTACGATTCAATATATATTTATTATCGCTGCCATATTCCTATGTTTTGCTTTTTTCTATAAATTTACAAAATTAAAAAAATTTAAACAGAAATAACTTTAAAATTAACCGAAACAAAAAAAAATATTCATACTGCTCAACATTCTTTTATATATCCTCCGTAAGGTGGTTATAGTATTAGTTATTCCATCTTAGTTCTCAGGAATTAAAACGCATCTGCATTTTGATTCTTAATTGAGGATAGACATAGATGTCTATTTGGCTCAGCATCCACTTTAACAGGTGGGTTGTGTGCTCACTTGTTACCTTTATTTAAAAAAAAACACACCTTAAGGCCACCCGAATCCAATTTGACTAAAATAAATTTGAACTCAGTTTAGTTTCGCTATCACTATGAACGTTACACAATGGCCTGTATATAAATTATGTATTATATATTTATATATTCGACTATCAACATCTGCCTAAGGTTATTCTAACCGGTGTTGATTTAGAATATGCTAGGCAGGTTAAAAACCTCGGCTTAATTTTGGCTCACGACCTAAGCTGGGTGTCACAAGTTAGTGAGGTCCGGAAACGAATTTTTAGCACAATGCATTCATTAAAGCTCTGGCAAAAGTTTATCCCTCAGACGGCCAAGGTTACGTTAGTCAACACTCTGTTGCTTCCTATTTTAGATTATGCTGATATTGCTTATCCAGATATAACTGAGAAACTGCTTAGCAAACTCGACCGTCTGCTCAATTTGTGCATACGCTGTATTTTTGGCCTGCGCAAGTTTGATCATATATCACAATCTCGCTCAAGACTTAAGTGGCTCGACATCCGTTTTCGCCGGAACACACACCTTCTAACCACTTTGTATGGTATTCTTTACAATCCTTGTTCCCCAGCTTATCTGAAAGAGCGTTTTTCATACTTAAGCTTATCCCGTTCGATGTCCAATAAAACTCTAACTATCCCGTTGCATAAATCTACATACTACTCAGATTCCTTTACGGTATCATCAATTACACTTTGGAATAACCTTCCACGAGATATAAAAGATGCTCCCTCAATAAATTCATTTAAACGTAAGGTTGAGGCACATTATTTAAAATTACTTGATTAATATTATTGGTTTATATAATATTATATTTTCTTATACTAGATTGTATGTATTTTATTGGTATAGTATGTATTTTTGTTTATATGTATATATACATTTATATATATATGTGTGTATGAAGTGTCAATATATATAAGGTAACATATTTATATAATATTATATTATTGAATAATATGTGAAGTTAGTTTCTAAAGTAAGTTAGTTTTTTTTTTTTCCTCTGTTGCGGCTCTACCCATAACTCTCACCACACTACCAAAGGTTAGCTGGCAGAGAATGCCTTTTTGGCATTAAGTTCGCCTTTGTACCAAATGTTTGCTTGTTTGAGTGCAATAAAGAATTTTCTATCTATCTATCTATCTATCTATCTATATATTAATAATAAATTTTAATTTTGCGCGACCTTTTTTCTCTGTTGTAATGAAATATTTATAGTTTAGTGTTAAAGCTAAAACATTTAATTATAGCGTTGATTAAAGCGTAATGTAACCGCTATTCATTATCGCTTACCTGGTAAGATGGTACGATATCATACGATCGTTACGTGGTAAGGTCGGTCAAGTAATTAGCCAACGTCGTAGCTTATAGTTCCTCTTCCTCCTCGTAGATTTCCTTTACTACAAGAACTGTGAATTGATCTCAGAAAACGACTAAGCTTGCTGTCCACCTTACTCAGGAATTTCGTGTGCTTAATCAGCTCGTAACAGTACTAGTCAATAGCTGGACATAGGCTTCCCCCACTATAGGAAGCGTTAACCGTAATATGCCGTAAGTCTCCTGCCATACCTGACATATACGAGATGGTATATCGATGGTCTAGAAGACAAACGTTCTGAATGCAAAATTTTGTGGTTTAAACTTTTGAATGCCAAACATTCTAAATATATAGGCCGCATCTTGTGTTCTTATCGGAAATCCATAATTCCATCTCTTTCGGTCTAAACCGAACCGGTACATTTGTAGTAAGAAACGTAAGACACGAGGCAAAGGAATCAAAGTCGCCTATCTAACCATGATAGAAATTACGAAACTATGAGTATTGAAATTCAAAAAAACTTTAGGTGTTTTATAATGAAAGACAATTGACACCTAAAACCTAAAATTGGTACCTAATTTACATGACAATTGAGGTGGAATTTTATTAAAATACGTGGTAGAGCCATGCTGCAGCTATATTAGTAGTATAGTTGTAGCACGAATGGGTCGGCTCGACCGGGGAAGGACCACGCTCTCACAGAATACCAGCGTAAAATAGCAGCTTAACGCTGCTGTGTTTCGTATGGTGAGTGTAGAGAACCGGAGACCCATTTTACTGGAGATGAGGCATTCTATCTTAGTCCTCACGGGTGACAACGCATCTGCATTTTGATTTGTAATAGAGGATAGATGTAGATGTCTATGGGCCGCAGCAACCAATTACCATCAGGTGGAATATGTGCTCGTATGTCACCCTTATCCTATAAAAAAAAGTATGTTAATTTTATAAATTTTACTTTAATTTCTAATAATTACATAATGATTGAAAATCATATGCTATACACAAATGCACTGTGTGAACAACTGAATAACAAAATAGTGATCAAAAGTATTAAGTGAATTTAATTTTTCATGTTTGTTCATGTGTTTTCATGTATTTCCCAGTAGGTACTTTTTATAGATGAGAATAATTCTTTAAAATTAATTGTATGACTGATAAATACCCTAACTAATAGCAGAAGTACAAGATACGTTACACCACTCAGCTTGACATACTAATGGGTAAAACTTTTCTCCAGAAAAATTACAATCTCTGTAATTAATTCATTTGTCTTCTAGACCATCGGTATATCCTCTTACTTTTCGTACAGTCGCCTCTTACGAAACCCATAAGACGAAATTGGGTGAAGGGCTGTCGTACGCTGCCATCACAGGGTACCTCAGAACAGTTGCGTAGCGAGGGGAGCATTTTGGGGATGAAGGTCAGCTACCCCCTAATGCAATACTAATACTTTTAAGTAAAATGTTACAAACCGAAAGAAGAAATAACAATAAAATAAATAGCAATATGTTAAGTAAAAATAGCAATATGCTAAGAAATAACATTCCATCATTTGTCAAAGGCAGAGGTAATTATAAAAAGTACAATATGATGTTGTATTCATTTTTAAATAATGTACAAAGACTATACAAGCCTTTATATATTTGGCGTGTATGGCTCTAGCGGCCCTGGATGGCATTTACCCATGCTACACCAAGGCTACAACACCATTTATGCTTGGTTTCTGAGGTACTTTTATCGGCAGTTTATCTATACGTTAGCGCTATTGGTTCAATAACTTGTGAAAGTGCGTTTCCGAACATCGCAATGTAAGATAAACTCCGTTTAAGCTAAGTTTAATTTAACTGACCATTATGTGCCGTTTTATCGGTTCTATAACTTTATTTGACGTTTAATTTCAAGCAAACTACATCAACTTTTAGGTTATTACGTGTTATTATTAAACTAAATTGCCAGTGGGCGCTAAATACTAAAATATGCATTTTAGTATTTGGCCTTTGTTGAAGCCAAAAACCTTAACTCGCGATTGGTTGCTAATTCAAAAGTGTAATACACTTATCATTATACCTAGTATTTTTGTTACGTGGCTACTGCAGTCCATGAACACTTGCAGCCAACTTCATACAAAGAAGGCTACAGGTGCGTTGTCATCTCCGAGGACTAAAGTGGAATGCCTCACAGCCTGTATCATGCAAGCACTGCTATTTGAGGGTAGAAATAGGTAAGAGTGGTACCGATACGGACTCGTCCTAGGCAGCAAAGGAGTGCTACCATCTAGTGAAATAGTGTTGCAAAGAGGGCTAATAAACCCGCTCACTAGATGTCGCTAGTTGGAACTGCCGTGAAGTTATTTATTTCACTGTGTCGCCCTTTGTGAAAAGTTGCGTTTTTAATAAAAGTTTTTCTGTTTGTAATGTATATTCTGTTAAGTAGCTTTAGTTGTTAGTTTAATTATTTTACTTTTAAGAATATCCACAGTTTGGTTTATAGATTTTAATAATTAATATAAAATACAGCTAATATTTCGGAAAGAAACATTAATCTCTATACTTTTCTCACAAATTAACTCCCCCCGTTATGAAATCTGTCAAATATTTCACCTTTTTACAGAGAATAATATGTAATTGTCACAAACGAGCATACAGTCAAGCTAATGGATGCTGTGACCCATAGCCATCTACATTTATTCTCACTTAAGAATCAATATGCTGAGAACTAAGATGGAATGACTCGTTTCCAGTAAAAAGGGTATCCGGTTATCTACACTCACCATACGAAACACAGCAGCTTTTCACGCGGGTATTCTATGAGAGCGTGTAATGTATAGCTGCAGCGTGACTCTACCACGTATGAACCTCATCAATAAGTGGCGCCGCTATAGTGCCAGACAAAAACGTGGATGCCTCATTACCGTTATAGCTCGTGAAATTTAACTTGTAACACTGCTTACGGGCCATTTCAATCGAATTTGTGTTTCAGCCGTCTAATGGCGTTTCGGAAGTCAAATTTGGAGGCCTTCACGAAGAAGTTCGGCGTGAAACTATCTTTCATGTCGCCATTTATCAAGGCCGCTGCCAACGCTTTAGAAGACCAACCAGTGGTCAACGCAGTGATTTTGGGTGACAAAATTGTATACAGGTAGGTTAAGAGTCATCATCATCATTTTCCTAGTATTTCAAAGTCCTCTGTTGAGGACTTGTTGTTGTCCTCATAGAGGGAATTTCGCTATATATTCGTTGCCACACTTGGCAAGTGAGTTGGCAACCGCATTTTTGTTATTTCGATGCCAAACCATCTTTTCTTATATTCTACTAAGCCAGCGCTTATCTACGATCTCACCTGATGGTAAGTGATGATGTAGCCTAAAATGGTGAGGCGCACTGACTTAACAAAAGCCTATTCACTTTTGCCTTGAAGACACCCACACTGTAATCGGATGGAAAGACAGATGCTGGCAACTTATTCCACTCCTTTACTGTACGCATGACGAACGACGTGGGGAACCGTTTCGTTCGAATGCGTGATAAGTCAACAAATAAAGGGTGGAGACTGGCCAAACGTCTGGTTGTCCGATTGTGGAAGGGAGAGAAAGGAATTAAATTCTGCAATACCTACGCACACTCTCCGAAATGCATCCTGTAGAAAACCGAAAGGCTGGCTACTTTGCGTCTGTGTTCGAGGCTGGTAAAATTGCTTTTAACCAAATTCAGGTCACCAATAACTTAGCATGCCTTTCCATTGAGTCCAAAGCTGGTAGGTGGCATTTTGTAGCCCATATATGACAGCAATACAACAATCTTCTGGTATGTTTCCCGCCGTCTCTTACGGCACCCATGCGCAACGGGATGAAATGTGGTATTGGATAAACAACACCACCATCAGTACATGGCGAAGAGAAAAATAAACAGTAGTGGTGTTCAGTAATTCCTCCATATTGAATCGAATTTTTGCATTATGAATGTATAGAAGTATAACCAGGTGTAGAAGTATGAAACCGAAATTTCTTTATAGATGGTGCTAGCCATCAGTTTAGAGACCATTAGACCGCTGCTGCAGCGCCATCATCTGCCTCTAACAGCTGAAAAAGATTTTCAACATATATCATTTAAAGAAAACTGCTACGGAATCACATCGAATGCCTGTCGAAGCTTACGGTGAATATACTCTTAGTACAATACAATATTTCGATTGGTTCAAAAAGTTCAAAAGTGGTAATTTTGACGTGAGAAATGAAGAGCACGCTCTAAACGAATCCACGTCTATCTAAACGAAATCTAACCTAAACAAAAACCACCGCAAAAGTTAACATACGACGAATTGGATGCCTTATTGGATGAAGATGATACTCAAATTCAACAAGAACTCGCGAATCAATTGAATGTGACGAAAAAAGCCGTCTCCATTCGTTTAAAAGCTATGGGAAAGATTCAAAAAGTGGGGAAAATGGGTTCCGCATGAACTGAATGTAAGACAGCAAGAAAATCGAAAAACCACTTGTGAAATGCTGCTCAATAGATACAAAATAATGCCATTTCTCAATCGAATCGTGACAGGTGATGAAAAATGGATGTATTTCGAGAATCCTAAGCACATCGAGTGACGTGCAGTTTCGTGGTCACTTGGAAGAAAAGGCCAAATTGGCCTCTAAAAAGCTTGACGTGCTCAGCAGAGCGGGACAGTATTTCATACCAGCTCAACGCCTGCAACTTTACAAGGCGCAGGTTCGGCCTCACATGGAATACTGTTTCCATCTCTGAGCTGGGGCTCCCCAGTGCCAACTCCTTCCACTTGACCGCATCCAGCGCAGAGCGGCTCGAATAGTCGACGACCGAGTCCTTTCCGATCGGCTTGACTCATTGGCACTACGAAGAGATGTTGCATCTCTTTGCATTTTCTTTCGCATTTACCATGGGGAGTGCTCTGAGGAATTGTTCGGATTAATCCCAGCCGCCAAATTTCACGAACGCACATCGCGGCAGAACTCCCGATACCATCCACACCATCTGAATGATTAGCGGTCCACCACTGTGCGATTTAGAAGATGTTTTCTTCCTCGCACAACTTCCTTGTGGAATAGTTTACCACCAGCGATTTTTCCGGACCGATACGACTTAGGGACCTTCAAGAAAAGAACCTACTCCTTTTTAAAAGGCCGGCAACGCATCTGCAATTCCCCTGGTGTTGCAGTTGTTCATGGGCGGCGGTAGTCACTTACCATCAGGTGAGCCGCATGCTCGTTTGCCCCCTCTCCTATAAAAAAAAATCCTAAGCCTCGTAAATCATGGATGAATCCAGGTGAACCATCGACACCCACTGCGAAACCAAATCGCTTTGGCAAAAAGACAATGCTCTGTGTTTGGTGGGATCAGAAGGGTGCAATCTACTGTGAGCTGCTAAAACCTGGCGATACCGTTAATACTGATCGCTACCAACAGCGAAAGATCGATTTATATCGAGCATTACGTGAAAAAACACCGGAATATGGAAAAAGACAACACAGAGTCATAAAAATTCCAGTTTCACACTCCTACGCCTATGTACAGCGACAAAACTTAAAACGTCAGGATTTAAATGTGTGTATGTTCAATGAGTTTAATTTAATTTTCGTTATCAACAATATGCACCTAATGATTGACGTTAGACATATTTTATTTTTGATAAGTATATCTTTTCAACTGTGATGCGCAATCATCGTGAAAGTATTATCCAATCTGTGGTGATCAAATTAGCAAGACTATTCAGGGTAGTCTGCTAGTCTGCACGTGAATAAATCTCACCTGCCTTGGGGTAACTCCTTCCATGTCCTCATGGCCTGACAATGTAACTAGAAAGAACCGACAACCCATGGGTATCACCCATGGGTTATCGTTCTACCCAAGATTCACAAGTGGCAGTCACGTCCCGGTTAACTGGCAGCCCCCCACTAGATATATCTTTTTTTTTCATTGTAACATTACTTTGTGTGTACATAAAGTGTTAAATAGATGGTTTGATGACATGGTAAGACATGCAGGAAGTCGTTAGATGCATATGGCTCAGAACCTTGTTTAGTGACATTCCTTGAAGGACACCATTAAAAAGCACACTTAAAATTATATAACTTTATTTCTACAGAGACTACGTAGATATTTCAGTAGCGGTTGCTACACCGAAGGGACTTGTAGTACCAGTAATGAGAAATGTTGAATCTATGGATTACCCACGCATAGAGCTTGCCATGCACGTCTTAGCTGAGAAGGCTCGAAATGGTAAATTATATTTTTAGTTTTTATAACTATTCTTAGATGGGACTCCATTTTGGACAAGTGGTCTGTATTTACTACTTATTAGGTACTGCATTTGACAGTTAATCCACGTATAAAATGGAGCTCAATTATTGTTTACAATCAAATCTTTCAGAACTTTCAAAGTTTCAGAAACTTGAAAACGTGATTAGAAACATGAGGTGGGCAGAATATTGGACTTTATTTAGCTGGGTAGAAACCGCATAGTGTACTTTGCTCTTTTAAAATAGGTAGGACGAGATTATACAATATATTTTTTATTTTTTTATTTATTGGACAACACAACAGATTACATCACGACTTAAAGCTATAACTTACAATAATAATAGTTTAATACAAGACATAATCCTTATACGTGTTACGATATCACGGCATGCCAAGATTGAGAAACAAACATTTTAAATAAAATTACTTAAACTAACAAGCTCATAAATCCAACAAATTAAGAACTATAATTTTAGTGAATATCAATCAAAGGGGATGTCCTTGAGAATGCCTTTCAAAACATTTCTAAAATGAACCAGACTAGAGTTGAAGATGTCAAAGTTGATAAAGCGAAGGCTATAATTCTCATAAAGTCGACATAACCTTGATAGAGGTTGATTCCGGGAGATATTATTTCGCGATAGGGGTATGTCAAATATTTTTTTCATAGGTCGACGTGGATTGTGTTTTATGTTAAAATTTAACAGTTCCAAAACCTCGGGACTGTCCAGTTCCTAGTGTATTATTTTGTGTAGGTTAACTAGGTCCAAGTCGTCGCGACGGAGGTGAAGTGGTGTCATGTCAAACTCTTTAAGCGTCTCAGCATATGACCGGAGTCTTCTATTGTTGCCGGTACGTAAGCTCAATAAACGCAAAAACTTGGATTGGATCGATTCAATGCGCTCAGAGTGCACTGCGTAGTATGGGTTCCATATTATTGAACAATATTCTAAATTACTTCGAACCAGACTGTTATATAACAAAATTAAACTTTTAGGGTTCCTGAAGTGCCTACTCTGTCTAGTAACGAAACCTAGTACCTGGTTAGATTTTTGGCTATGAAATCGTAATGTTAGCGGAAACTAAGCTGTTCGTCAAACAAGACCCCGCGATCCCTGATAGACGACACACGAGACAGAGTTTGTTGTTCCAAGATATAATTGTTTGATACCTTGTTTTTTTTAAATGTGTAGGTGATGACAAAGCATTTGTCAATTAAGGAACATATTATTTTCTTTGCACCAATTAAACAGGCTGTTTAAGTCTTCCTGTACGATGCGAGTGTCGTCAGCTTCACCAATTCTATTGAATATTTTTAGGTCGTCAGCATATAACAGGCAAGGGGACTGAATTTTATCAATGAGGTCATTAATAAAAGTCAAGTTTATACTATAAGGTTGACAAACGAGCACATAGTCCACCTTTTGATAAGTGGATACTGTGGCCCACAGACACCTACTCTAATCCTCGATTAAGAATTTTAATGCAGATCACCCATCCCTGAGGACTACGATGAATTGCCTCGCTTCCAGTAGAAAGGGTTTTCGGTTATATACACTCACTATACGAAACACAGCAGCATTAAGCTGCGCTGGTATTCTGTGAGAGCGTGGTCCTTCACCGGCCAGCCGTTCGTGTTACAACCATAATATAACTGCAGCATGGCTCTACCGCGAGTTTCTCAGACATATATGTTTCTTCTCACGAAATTTTTTTTAATAGGAATAAGGGTAACAAACGAGCACACATTACACCTGATAGTAAGAGGTTACTGTGGCCCATAGACATCTACATCTATCTATGATTACGAATCAAAATGTAAATGCTTTGTCACTCGTGAGGACTGAGATGGAATGCCTCGTTTCCAGTAAAAAGGGTTTCCGGTTCTCTACGCTCACCATACGAAACACAGCAGCGTTAAGCTGCTATTTTACGCTGGTATTCTGTGTTCCCCGGTCAAGCCGACCTATTCATGTTACAACTATACCAGTAATAAGGCTGCAGCATGGCTCTACCACGTAAAGAAGTTTTTCTTTACTCCCAAACTATTCATGGGTCTCTCCTTGATTAGTAAATGGTTATACCCTGCTTTATTCCTGTCCTTACTATCGCACGCTGAGTGTTTTTGAGCTTCATCATACAGCCAGCGGTGAAAAACCACGTTTCAGTTCCGTAAATTACTGGAGGTTGTCACAACACAGCAACACACGCACGGATTGTTGTTCATACACTAAATTCGAAATAGAATGTTACAGTCCTTTACCAGTCCAAATGTTGTAAATCTCGCATATTGAAAACAGTTTTTTTTTTTTTATAGGAGAGGGGGCAAACGAGCATGCGGCTCACCTGATGGTAAGTGACTACCGCCGCCCATGAACAACTGCAACACCAGGGGAACCAGGGGAATTGCAGATGCGTTGCTGGCCTTTGCCATCTATCGAAAAAACCGTTTCTACCTGTTAACCAGTCTAGACATTTAGCAGCTCCTTCCTGACTTATTCCGTAATCAGCATAAACTTACTGCTTGTTTAGGTTGAAACGGTAAAAGAGCCAGTATTATTATTATTAGCTGTGAGGTTGATCTTTGTCTTCATAGATAATAGGGCACTAGAGACCTTTTATTTTTAAAGTCACGTTATCCTCGAATGGACTGCAGACTCGTTTACAATTTAAGAGAAAACAAGTGGTGAAATGAAAAATTTAGTACAACTGACTTCAGTATAATTAAATGAGAACATCATCCATGTATAGACGAAGTCAACTAAATACGCATTATCATTAGGGATAACTCAAAAACTACTGGTCAGATCTTGATCAAATTTATATGGGACTACATGAGAAGCACCAGCTTTCCAATAAAAAAAAATCGGTTCACCTAAGAAACAAATAAAGACATAAAAAATACAGTCGAATTGAGTACTTCCTCCTTTTTTGAATTTGGTTAAAAATTAACATTTTTATTGTCTTTTTTTATTGTATCGACCGCTCGAACCCGTCTAACCACAGGCCTATCGCCATCACTTTGTTCTCCAAAATAATGAAATCTATTATAATCTGCCGTAACTTTAGGATTTCGTTGGGGTCGATAAGCTGGTGATCTTCTGGTCTACCTGACTCATACATGGGCGGAGTCAGTAAAGTCCAAGGGGGAGGCAATGGCTGTTAGTTTGGACATTGCGAAGGCCTTTGATCGGGTTTGGCACAAAGCGCTTCTTTCGAAGCTAGCTTCCTATGGGGTTCCTGAGAAATTGTGCAATTAGATCAACAACTTTCTTGCATATCGAAGCATCAAGGTTATTGTAGATGGTGCATGCTCCGATTACAAGCCTATTAATGCTGCTGTTCCACAAGGCTGCGTGCTACCACCAACACTGTATCTTCTGCATATCAATAATATGTTTCAAACCGTTAATATTCATTGCTATGCGGATGACAGCACTGGTGATGCTCTATTCACCGGCCGTGCCCATATTTCTCGGGAAAACGTCGCCGAGTACCGGAACAAATAGTGTCTGAAGTCGAATCTTTGCTGAACAAAGTCTCGGATTGGAGGGCGACTAAATGTAGTCCAGTTTAATCCTCAGAAGACACAAGTTTGTGCGTTTACCGCTAAAAAGAACCCCTTTGTCGTATCTCTTCAGTTTCAAGGTACTCCCCTTGTTGCCTCAGCCAGTATCGGAATCCTCGGCGTTGACATATTGAGTAACGTGCAGTTTCGTAGTCACTTGGAAGATAAGGCCAAATTGGCCTCTAAGAAGCTTGGCGTGCTCAGCAGAGCGGGACAGTATTTCATGCCGGCACATAGGCTGCAACTTTATAAGGTGCAGGTTCGGTTACATGGAATACTGTTCTCATCTCTGGGATGGAGCTCCCCAGTTCAGCTCCTTCCACTGGACCCCATCCAACGCAGACCGGCTCAAATCGTCGATGACCGAGTCCTTTCCAATCAGCTCGATTCACTGGCGCTGCGAAAAGATATTGCATCCCTTTGCATTTTCTTTCGCATTTACCACGGGGAGTGCTCTAAGAAATTGTTCGGATTAATCACATCGCGGCAAAACTCCCGATACCATCCACACTATCTGGCTGCTTTTTTATAGAATAAGGGTGACAAATGAGCACACAGTCGATCTGGTGGTAAGTGGTTGCTGTGGCCTAGACGTAGATGTCTATCTTCTCTGTTTGCAAATTAAAATGCAGATGTGTTGTCAGCCGTGAGGACTAAGATAGAATGCCTCTTTTCCAGTAAACAGGGTCTCCGGTTCTTTACACTCACCATACGAAACACAGCAGCACTAAGCTGCTATTTTACGCTGGTATTCTGTGAGTCCGCGTGGTCCTTCCCCGGTCGAGCCGACCCATTCGTGCTACAACTATACTACGAGTATTAATATAGCTGCAGCATGCCTCTACCATGTAATGGAGAACGCTTGGCGGTTCACCATTGCACGTTTTAGTAGGAGTTTTCTACCGCATACGAGCTCTCTGTGGAATAGTTTACCACCGGTGATTTTTCCGGACCGATACTACTTAGGGACCAAGAAAAGAGCTTACTCCTTTCTTAAAGGCAGACAACGCACCTGCAATTCCCCTGGTGTTGCAGTTGTTCATGGGCGGCGGTAGTCACTTACTATCAAGTGAGCCGTATGTTCGTTTGCCCCCACTCATTTAAAAAAATATGTTTTTTGGCATTTATGAAACTGTAGCAGAGCCGCAGAATTGCCAAGAAATCCTTACTTAATTTGTCACACAGGTAAACTTACACCGAGCGACATGCAAGGCGGTACTTTCACCATCAGTAATGGCGGCGTTTTTGGCTCATTGCTATCAATGCCGATCATCAACCTGCCACAGTCCGCCATTTTGGGAATGCACGCTATTGTGCAAAGGCCTGTCGCTATTAATGGAGAAGTAAGTAAATGTGTTAATTTTATAAAAACCTAAACGACCGCGTGGACGTGTTAGAGCTATATTATAATATTATATATAAGTTATATTATAATATGGTTGTAGTACAAATGGGTCGGCTCGCCGGGGAAGGACGATGGTCTCACAGAATACCAGCGTAAAATAGCAGCTTAATGCTGCTGTGCTTCGTATGGTGAGTGTAGAGAACCGGAGACCCTTTTTAATGGATATGAGGCATTCCATCTTAGTCCCCAGGGGTGACAACGCACCTGCATTTTGATTCTTACTCTAGGATAGATGTAGATGTCTATGGGCCACAGCATCCACTTTCTATCAGCTAGGCTGCGTCTCGCTTGTCACCTTTATTATATAAAAAGGGGCACAATATCAGAACTATTACTGCACACAATGCAAATGCAATATTGTTGATCGAAGACTGCACAATATCGTAGGTCAATATCTGAACATGTGGTTTACTGAGCAGAATATTTGCTTACTGAATCTAGGATATTGGGATCGAAACCAGTCAAAGCCAGTAATTAAGCAACAGCAATAAATAGCGTATGTTATAATATAATTGTAATGTAAATTTAATATTTAAATATAATTAGTTTGCTTGTATAACAAAGCTTATATAAAAGCTAAGCTAATAAAAAGCTAAAATATCCTAAGTAAAGCCAAGACAGGTTGTAAAGGGTTTTTCAATTTGCGCGGGTATATTTTGTAGTAGGGGAAACCGTTAGAGATCGACCTTCACCCATCTGATAACCAGATGAGACCTATATTTTATCAAATTTTGTTGATTTATAAACATTCCTATCATAGCTTGCCTTTCGAAAAGCGTTCATGGCTATTTTTAATTAAATTAGTTTTAATCATTTATATTTTCATAACCTTCACTCATTTGATAATCGAACAAATTTAGTTTAAACAGATAGTTTTTCATGTGTAGAATATGCCTTGGTAGGCTTGCCTACTTGTTTCTGTTCATGGCTACCTGGCAAGCGTGTATGAACAGGTAAGTCAATATAGATATCTACACCGATATGTTAAGGTGGAAGCGCCAGGGTAGCCCGCGAAATTCAAATTTTCTTATGTTTTTTGCAATTTGCAAGCCACTGTCAGGTTGTATGTTTAACAAAATATGATTCGCGACCGTAACGAGTAAGTATTTACAGAATTATAATCATTATAATCATCAATACAATCGTCTACATTCGTATAATTCCAATGTACGGCTATTTCCAGAAAAACTCATTCAAAGTGATTATATGAAATTAAAGGGTTGTATTGGTGATTTTAATGATAATAATTCTATAAAAACATACTCGTTGCGGTCGCGAATCATATTTTATTAAACATTCAACCTGACCCTGACATGCAAATTCTAAAAAACGCAAGAAAATTTGAATTTTGCGGGCCACCCTGGAGCTTCCACCTTAACCAACAAAAATTAATGTCAAAAGAAAAATAATTTATTTACGAAAACAATCATATAGGCTTGCCTGCAAAAAACCGTTCATGGATTATTATTGCCATGCTTAAAGCATGAAGCATGAGTTTTAAAATCAAATCAATGATATTATAAAATTCATAATTATTATTCAAAATCTGAATCATCTGAAGCTACATTAAGATCTTCAACGTCTGATAATTATTCTTAATTTACATTTTCCGTCATTTGCATGATGTCATCTATCTTCAAAGGTGTTTGGTCCCCAACAAAATCAATTACTAGTTTCAAATAATTATTTTCTAAAACTAACCGCAGTTTTCAGCGCGCAATCATAGAATTGACGTATATATGTAGTTCGCAAAATTGTTTGCATTAAAGAAGACCAGCATGATACAGTCGAAACTTCTTTTTTTTATTTTTCTTCATTTTTCATTCTTGAAATTATCAGCTTCGTCAAATAATATCGCAAACATATTTTCTTTCTGGTCTTAATTTACATTTCTGGTTCAAATGATAAAACTTTATTATCAAAATGAGTGTTAGATAGTGCAAACGTTGCGCGCACTGCGCCCATTTTACGGTTGTCATGGTGGCCCTTCACAGTCGAATTTTCAACATTTGGTGGCCAAATTTGATACGAACGGTTCGGTAAACAATCAGCTATCACCCGAGGAACGCAAGATTGGCCGAGAACATCGTCGCAGTTCGTGAAAGTACAGAACAGAACAGCAGAATCCGAGGCAGTCGATGCCTCACCGTGCAAAAGCACTCGGCACAGACTTCATCTTGGCGATTTATATGTCGAGACTTAGGCCTACGGGTGTAGGCCAACCCAGGAGCACTAAGGACCCAGGAGCTCAAAGTTCATGATCATAGACAACGCCGTTTGCTCGCTGACTGGGCTTCGAATCGTTTGGAAGAGGACCACAATTTTGGCTGAAAAATCATCTTTCGCGACGAGGCGCATTTTTGGATGAATGGCTGTGTTAACAAGCAGAATCAACGTATATGGGACGACACTAACTCAAGCGAGGTTCATCAGGTGATAACCTGTCAACCACTCAAAAAGTTACCGTTTAGTGTGGATTATGGGCCGGCGGCGTCATTGGTCCGTACTTTTTCGAAAACGACGCTGGGTGAGGTGGTCAACGTCAACGGCGAGCGCTACAGAACGATGATAACCTATTTCTTATGTCCCAAATTGAACCATATGGACCTAGACGACATTTAGTTTCAGCGGGACGGCTACGTGCCACACAGCGGACACCACGATTGAGATTCTCCATGAGCGATTTGAGGGTAAGCTTATCTATTGCAGTCATGCAATTTAACCCCGCTAGACTTTTTCTTGAGGGGTTTCTTGAAGTCGCAGGTCTATGCAAACAAACCACAATCGACCGATGCCCTAAAGTGAACATAACACAGGCCATCGCTCAAATTCAGCCGGCTCTATGTAGAAGAGTCATTCAAAATTGGACCACTCAGATCCATGCCACTGTAAGAAGCCGAGGTGGGCATTTGAACGATTTCATATTCCACACTTATATGGCACATGTGGACCTTTAAAACAAAAAAATAATTTCGTTAATACCTCACACACAGCTTGTTTTATTTCATTTAAACATCTACCCGCCCTTATTGAAAACCTTTTACTTCAATCGGAATTAGGAATCAGGTCGGAATCAGGGCATTCACGGTTTTTGTTTTTCAAAAAAAGAATCTGTCATATTCAGCTATATTCGGCAGCATAACCATCTCGTTTACGTCAGACGTAAATACTTCTAAAAGTAAAGGCTTCGTAAAGGCCTAACAATTCTCAGTTTATCATATTTTTTTAATTTATTTATTAAAAGTTAAAGTATCAACTTGCCGTTACCGTATGGAGTGGAGGACATTTTGTATTAAGATATACCTGCATGGTCCAAGATTCGTGAAACTTTTTTCACAAAACCTATAACATTCTAAATTAAAAAAATATATAACAATATATTAGTTTTTACATTCAGTACTTATTTGAGTTAAACATGGAGAGACCTCAAAACTTCAGTAATTTTTGAACAGGACTGACGAACGCAATGTGCGTTTTTTGTTTAATCGCTTTCGTAGTGGAAACTATGACTTGTAAAATGAACCACGACGAAGACCACAGACACTAATGGTGGCAGCCGATTCTTATCAAACAACCACAAAATTAGGGTCTTGGTTTGCCATTAGTTTATCCACAATATTGGCACAATGGGTTATAAGTTTTGCAGTTGTGTAGACGATGGACTAGCCGCCTATCTCTACTTTCACAATATTACGCCTAAGTCCATATTTTTGGCTAAACGTAGTCCTAGCTCGCTTCTCTTTCAACTTTGCGTACACTGCTTTGTTGAATAGTACAAAAATGAAGGGATTTTGGACAGAATTGTGATATGTGGTAAAAAATGGATACTCTAAGATAATGACAAGCGAAAAATGGCTGAACTCAGATCACATACCGGAACGATGCCCTAAAGCGAAGCTCACCCATAGAAAATTTATGGCAGCTGTTTGGTAGTCACTTAATGGTGTGGTTTACAATAATTTTTTGAGATCCGGTGTATCATTATTGTAAAGAATCCTCGATCAATGAAACGAAACTCTTAAAAAACAACCCCAACAATTCAATCGATCTTCGCCATTATTGGTCCATGTTAACCCAAGACCTAACAATGCTCGACAAACCGTTTTAACAATACAAGACTCGCAGTTAAAAAGCATACGTCATCTTTCATACCTACCCGCTAGACCAAGCCTTACAAAGAAAAAAAATTTGTTCTCAGGAAGCGCTACAAAATGCCTTCATAGACGTTGTAGAGTCCGGATCCCCAGAGTTCTATCACGAAGGCATAAATGATCTTCCCTCGAGATAGCCAGAAATGTATATATAATAAGGGTAAACACTTCGATCATTTAATATATTTTTTCATAGAAAAATTGTTTGAAATTTTCAACATAAAACTACAGTTTCATTACTTAACCCCTTATATTACTAGCTGATACCCGCTCGCTTCGCTGTGCGCATGATATTTTATTGCGGAACCTAGATGTAAAATATCAAGAATAAAAATTATCGTAAAATCCATTCTTAGTGAGCGTCTACTACCCTAAAGGAGACTAATACGCTTTCATACATTCTTGGGCCCAGATTGTAAAAAGATGAAAGTAATGTCAATTAATAGCTTTGATATTATCAAAAAATCACTGAAAATTTTGCGGACTTTGGCAATCTGAGAGCAGAATTATAAGAGATTTAATAAGAGTGAGGTTATACAACAATTTGGCAAAAACCAATACTAAACAGCTGATTTTTGAAGTGCGATTGCTATTTTGGAAAGATCGTGGGCCTAGTGTATTACAGCGACTAGTCGCTATGCCACAATTCACACAGCGATCCATTGAGTCAATATCTAATAGATAAAATCCAGGCCGTAAAATCCGCAATAACGTGTCAAAGTCAAACGATTAAACAAGATTATCGGTGTTCGGTATGTTAGCAAGGGTCTTACAAGTTAACCACGACACCCCTGGCGTGTCAAGCACCACAGACACGCCTATTGTGCCATCAGCCAAAGTAATGTCCTTTTTTATGCTTTTTTTACTTGTTTAGACCTAATTAAGTTTAGTTGACATCAAACATAAGTTACAAACGGAAGGATACTTGTTTTTAGTGGGTAACGACGTGTTTTTTTACGTGTTTTCTTTGAAATTGAGAGTAAGTGACTTTTTTACGCAGAGACTACAAACCTTTTGTACTATTTTTTGTTTTATAATAAAATCATTTATATAAGTAGGTACAGCTAAATCACCCTGGAAACCTTGGTTTTTATTAAATTAAATTTTCACCTAATAATAACATTTGTAAATATCAAACAATGAAGAACCTTAATTTGGAAAAACATAAGGTTTATGATTCATTGATATTTACAAATGCTAAATATTGTTTAATGTTATACAAATATAAAAGTAAAGTCGATCTGAAAACGTCTAATTAGTAAGAATAGCAAAACAGGTGTTTTCAAAAGGAAAAAAACGCCGGCGCTATACGGCGGCGGATTGACAAAAGACCTATTTATTAGCGAACGTTTTTTTATGCATGAACGGTTTCGAACTATTTCAAGCAAAAATAAATCTTATACCATATCACAAGAGCACATGGTACTTCGTAGGTCTATTCGGCCATATGATAGTAATAAGACGACAGTTCAACCATTTTAAGTAAAATTAAACAATAAGACAAACGCTTTGTTTTCTTTTAACAGGAGACTTGTTTTCCAGAAATTTATTTACAACTTGAGTTTGTGAGCGATCGCAATGAGTGCTATTATTTGTTACTTATTAGACTATTTTACACGTTAAAAAAAAGGTTGTCAACCCCTAAAAATTTCAAATTTTCAAAATATCCAGAAACGAAGCTGCAGGCATGAACTACTTGTAAAATAATGAATATTTCGTTCTGGATAAAAGATTCTTCCAAAAAAGCAATTTGAGTGAGTTCTAACGATTTAAAGAAAGACACGACTCGCGTGTCATACGCCACACACAAAAGTGATCGATGCCACTCCTGGCGTGCCATCTGCACTGAACCGGTTATGAAGATCAGAAGTCCGTAGAAAGAAAGCAGTGGTCGAGCAAAATAACTCAATAAAACAACGAGAAACACTTAAAACACACACGTACTAAACGATACGAGACGACTGACTGATCATAGATTAGATTGAATCGAGTCAGGCAGGAACACTGACTTTAGGTATATACCTCTATGGGCAGGAGCTGTCACTATCAGCACAGATTCAAAATACAGTTGAAAAATACAAGTAATAAATCGAACTGTAAATGTGAATCGATTTTAAGATTTATTTTTATTATGTTGATTTTTTAAACTGTTGACACTATGTAAATATATTGTAATTTACTTTGATTGAATCAAGCATCAGATTTAAGTTGTTTTTATGTTTAATTGTTAAAACTCCTTTACATTAATCGATTAAAGTAATCTATTTCCTATTTTATTCGTGGCATAAACTTATTTTCAAGATTTCTTGTCTTCCAGATTGTGAATTGGGCAATTTTTTTTAAATATTTTGTAATAGAAAAATATAACGCTTTTTAAACCATATTTCAACTTATTACAATTGGGCCCAGAAATCCCCTTCTCCTTTCAAGTTAATCGGGTGTATAGTTTTAGAGATCTCGTATTTCGCTTATACATGGTTTTTTGCAATAACTGATCAAATTTGCAGAGAAGGTTAAGAATATAAGTAATATAGGCAAATGGTGAAGAAAAATTAATTTAAAAATATCTAAAACATTCTGTCCTTTTTATCTTTTAAATTCAAAATGCCTCATCATCATCATCATTACAGACCTTCACAAGTCCACTGCTGAACATAGGTTTCGAGCTTAGTGCGCTCAACAACTACCGTGTCCATGTTCATCTTAAAACCTATCCATTGGGATGCAATATTGAGGTCATTGAGCATAGTGCTTAGGTCCTCCAGCAATTCTGCCATAAGGACTATATCGTTGGCGAAGGTGAGTGATGTACTCGCCATTGATGTCAATACCGTATTCTTTCCAGTCCAGAAGCTTGAAAACGTCTTTCAATGCAGCGGTGAAGAGTTTCGGGGATATAACGTCACCCTGACTTACACCTCTCTGCAGTTGGATAGGTTTTGTACTCTGGTTCTGCATTCGGATAGTCATCGTAGAACACTTACAAGCCTTACTGTAGAAGCACTTCAGCACTTCGATGTACCGACTGTCAACTTGGCACTGCTGGAGAGACTGCAGCACCGCCCAAATTTCGACAGAATCAAAGCCTTTCTCGTAGTCCACATACACTAGACATAGGACATAGGGTATGTATGTGGTCTATGATGCTAAAGCCTTTTCGGAAACCGGCTTGTTCGGGAGGCTAGAATTCGTCGAGTCTGCATGCGAGACGATTTGTAATGACTCTCGAAAACAGCACGTAGACGCGGCTCAGAAGGGAAATCGGCCTGTATTTCTACAAGAGAGCGTTGTCGCCTTTCTTGAAGAATAAGACCACCGCACTTCTGCTCCACGCCTCTGGTGTAGGGCCACCATGGAGGACGGTATTAAAGAGCTTCTAAAGGACTTCAAGTACCAGTTTTTCACCCGCTTTCAGAAGCTCTACTGTAATTCCATCCTCGCCTGGTGCCTTGCCGTTTTTAAGGTGCTGGAGAGTCATTCTAATCCCGCTCAGACTGACATCCGGAATATCATCGGAATAGTGTCGGATAAGATTTGCTCTTGGATCGTTACTCACACTTGCGTGTAGCTCCAACGATGATGTGTACAGCTGCCCATAGAACCTCTCAATCTCACTCAAAATCTCAGGTGTGCCGGAAACGACGTTGCCACACTCTGTCTTCAGCTTCGACAGTTGGCTTTAAAAAAATGCGTGGTAATGCATTATTTTAACTGATTGTCATTCATAAATATCTAATGCCTACTATTTTACTACGCACACGTTCATAAGGCTCGATCGGGCGGCAAAAACGTTGTGAATTGAATTGCACACAGAGGAGCGCACGTACGCGTAGTTGTTGCCCATAAATCACATTCAATTTGGGATAATTTCAAATGAAAGTAGAAGCTTTATTTACTTATATTTTCAAAAACTGCAATAACGGTATATTATTATTTATACTTTTGAACTTAAGTTTAAAGTTTGGCTAGCCTTTGAAAAATAACCCTGTATATGTATAGATTATTTTTAGTGGGAATTTGAAGATACATAGATACTTAATATTTTATTAGTTAAGCAATTTATATCTGTAAAATTATATGCAAAACCTAACAAAATTGTTCTATAGAGAATACACACAATATTGCTCTCTGTCTTTTGTACAGTGCTGTCCTGCTTTTGAAAATTGAAGCTACTATATATTATCGTAAGATACTTAGTAGGTCGTGGCTCCTCGTAGTATTTATTCGTATGGCCTATTAGAATTAAAGCATTATTTTTTTAATTTTCAGGTAAAAATAAGACCGATGATGTATTTGGCCTTAACCTATGACCACAGATTGATCGACGGCCGTGAAGCAGTATTGTTCCTACGCAAAATCAAGTCCGGCGTTGAAGACCCCACATCAATTCTGGCCGGAATTTAATATTATAAATCAGCATAATACTGTTAAAGTCTTATATGTTATGGAAACAAAATAGAAGTATTTATAGTTTAAACAATTCTTTTAACTTCGATCTTTACCTTGATTAATAATCAAAGTCATCATCAAAATGTCGTTAATCAAATATTTTAGTTCAAAATTGGCCTTTACAAAGCACTTTTTGAAAATAAATCGCTTCAACAAGGTCCTACTGCGGGAGACCATATGAGAAGAAGAGCCAAGAAACTCGCAAGAAATCTTTTTCATCCAACAGTTATAATGTTACCTAGTAAAATAAATACAAAAGTAAAAAAGGTACAAAACAGTTCACTAAGTCCACGCTAGTAAATATAGCCTCGTTTTAGGAATTTTTTTTTATTTAATTTCTTTTTTATATGATTTTTTTCGTGTGATGGAATAACACGAAAAAAATCATATTAACTTTTTACGCCCCTTTAGTATCATGAAATAAAATATTTAATTTCCAATAAGTAATTAAGAATCAATTCAAACAGCAGTCGCTATGGTTGCCACCTTGGTGGCACGACATCACTGGGTCCATTAGCTGCTATAATAATAGCATATGATTGATCGGTCGGCGTTAAAGACACATCGAGAAACGCCAAATCCAATTAGAGAGCGCCTCTATGTTTTTAAATTCGTTTCTATTACAAAAATACACTTCAAATCTAAAATATTTTAGGAAAACACTGAACTTAAAAGTCGTTTCACAATTTTTCACGTTTCATCAGCTGCAATACTTAAAGTCACTACCCACATCAATAAAAATTGTTATTTTAAGTTTTTACCTTATGTTCTAACTCAGGCTTAACCTACAACTTCTTGCATCTAATAACTTTAACAGTACAAATTGTTTTTAATGTTAGAAATCTATTGTCCTCTCCTATCACTGTAAGCGAGGATCTAAAACCACGGTGTAAAACCACCAGACAATGAAGCCTGATATGTAAAAGAGAAGACTTGCTGTATTGCTAAGTAAGCGACACAGTAAATCTCATCAGCATGCCTAAAAAAATTTCCCACTCTTGCTCCACATAAAGTAGGGTACTTAGCATAGTTGTTATATGCTACTCATTTTTGTTAGTATGGGTACAGTATCGTTGACTGTTTTACCTCCTTAAATATTGTAAAGAATTAAATCGGCATGCTGTATATTTTATTATCGATAATCCCAATCGATAAACGTCGTCAATCACTAACGTTAAAATTGGTAACTAAATAGTGACGTTTATTGGATAACAGAGGGCGCTTATTACAATAAAAATAAATCTTCTAGAACAATCTACTAGAAATAATAAAATTTAAAGATTATTCAGTAAATATATGTTATATTTACGATAATAACCCGAAATCACGTTCATTTTTGTTCCATATCGTGACTAACAATACCTTAATGCACAACCGGGCATATTTTCTTTAAAAATATTTTTTAAATATATGAAACGAATGCGTCTTGACTTTTTGACGATGTCACTAAGACTAAATGACAAAAATCGGAGATATATCCTATAGGACATAAGTTACAGACGACAATTTTGCTACTGATGTCCGGTCTAGTACTACTAATACTTAAATATCTTTGGTAAGTATGTATATCATGCCACTTCTTGTAACTTGGTGAGCGTAGTTCAACTTTATATCGGTGATCTCATTTCTGTCTGACGTAACGCTGTGATGTCAATCGTCTATCTACGGCTGTGATTGATTTTATAATGTATGTCTCTATTGAGTATTGAGTTGTCGTTGTCACCCCTTGGTGTTTGGTCACACCCATAGATTTAGAATATACTGGTATATAGACGACCTGACAACCCGAAAACGCGTGACTAATTTTGATTTGTCATTGTGTGCGTTAGCTAGTGATGTACATTTTACTTACAAGGACTATCGAAAAATGATTGTTAAGAAAGCGGTAAAAATATTTTGAAAGATAGTTTAGTGCACGAAATTGAATAACTTCAACAATTAACTGAATTTTTACCATGATAGTTCTTCAAAATTATTAAAAAATATTCAAACAACATGGTCCTGGGAATAAGCTGAACCTACCTGTCTTTCGTTGGACTTTAATTCAAATGTAAAAAACCCAGGTGACCTTAACGATAAACTTCAAAAAAACTTCCCAAGAATCAGATCAGAAAGTAGTATTTTCGAGTTATAATCTTTGGAGAAAAATATTTACTGCCATGGACAGTTTTCCCGGAATTCCTTTTTAACATATTGTTAATATAAATACATTTTACATTCGACTTAAATATGAGTGTAAGCTTAATAATTTAAGTAATTACACTTGTAGGGCTCAGTTAAATAAGATTCCTCTGTTTAAAGGCTCGATCATGCTTCATGTTTATATTCTTTCATCTTTCCCTGAATAGTATAAAGTAATAACAAACTTATTATCATTTTAGCTGCATGAATTTTAAAAACATAACGATCTTAACAGAGTAAAGTGCACCAAGTGTACAGATGCACTCTCTATTCTTTCAATATTGGTATGTTGAGAAAATGGTCACTCATTCATGAACTGACCGCGACAAGTGCAACTTAATCTCGCAAATCTATTGATCCAAGCAGCTATTACTTAACCACGAGTTCTTCTTCTCTCTGACTATGACTGTAGACGATGAACCACGCTATTTAAGCCCTCGGCACAATGTCGTCGGACATCAAGCATAAATTTGGTATCGAGCGTTGTGAGTATCAAATACTATGGAGCTTATACTATCCTGGCACATTGAACCACGCGTCTCATGCGCAGTGGCACTTCAAGAGCATCACTAAATATATTATATCTAGCTACGCTAAAAGTTTTATTATTGTGACTTGGTAATATAATCCGAAGCTCCACACAACCCCTTGGAGAAAATAACATGCTTAAAATATTATACTACTAGTGTGACCGTGAGGTGTGGGTGGTGAAGTAAGGTTATACATTTTTTGGTTGATAAATAGATACTTAGTTGGGTTCATAATGGTTTAAGTAGGATAATCTCAAGATTTTTTATCTTTAATGTACTACAGTTTTATAATATATAAAAATCTGTCTAATTTTATCAAAAGTTAAAAAAATAAATTTTTGTAGTCTTATTATAACAATATTATACTTAATGGTTCAAATAATGTGGCAATGGCTCCTTTTAATAAAATTGTTTTTATTCTACTTTTTCTTTTATACATCTCAAGTAAATGTTTGCTGCTAATTGTTTTCTTTGGATTCCAACCAACCTGTCCAATTAACCTCAAACATTTTTTCTAATTATAAAATCCGGAAGGAATCTGTTTGACAAACGGCACAATAAAATTACATTTATAGAACGCAAACCGAGGATTTATTTTCTTGTTGTGTGGACAAGTCTATGGATTCTATATAAACATTCAAGATAAATATTCTATCTATAGTAAAATTATTTTGTCCGTGCATTTGAGGTCATAAATCATAGCTCGGCCTCAGCCCGGCTAGGGCGGTGAACATGTTGCACGGGCGCAACGCCATTATCGATAACAACAAATGAATCATCGAAGGCAGGTACACGGCGGCGGTGCGGTATACAAAGGATGGTGCGACATTTTTATGTTATGAGTCATTTGTTTTCCATTATTACTTATTTATTTATTTAATTTATTTAGAAAACCAACAGCGTATATAGTAAATATTAACATTAATGTAACAAACTAAAAGTATGGCCAATAACAGGTTTCCCTTATATTGCTTTATGGTAGGTGTATTGTTGTTGGAAGAAAAGGAAAGAAGAACAATCTAATAGATAAATTATAAGCAAAATTATAAGCAATTCAATGTAATGAAGGTGATCATAAGTTTACAGATCAGGTAGAGAGAGACTCAGGTAGAATGATATTTTACATTACCTTTATATATATATATATATAAACACATACATACTTATGTACATACACACACATATAAAATGTATAAATATATAAATCACAAACATAGTACAAATAATTAATTATAATATATATTAAATAAAATAACTTAAGTACTTATATTTATATTAGTAGCCTCAAAAAATACATATAGAAAAAATAAAAGAGAGAATATATGATTGTATGTGATTTTAACTTCAACTGCTCTATTTCTTAATATTTTTCTTGATGTAATCTTTAAATATAAGTTTAGATTTCGCAAAGAGGCCAATGTGTCCAAATTGTTCATTATATGTACGAGCGAGCCGCGAAAGAACAGTGTTTCGACAATAGTTTGAATGATGCCAGGGAGTCTGTAACAATGTAGTATTGCGGGTGCGGAATTTTGGAGTACGAAAGGTGATCCTTGAGACAAGATATGGACAGTCAATATTACTATTTATCATATAACAAAGCCATGTCAAGCAAAACACGCCTGTGTTCCAAAGATATGAGATCGTGCTCAGTGCAACTCTCTGTGTAAGTATCGACTTTATTCCGACAGCGAAAGTTAAGGTGATTAACAAATATTTTTGAATACGCTCAAGGCGGCTTTTGTAGACATTGTACTGTGGAGACAATATCGAACTAGCATATTCCAAAACACTTCTGACATACGCAAAATAAACCGTTTTAATTGCATTCATATTCGAGAATGGTTTACAGACGCGAAGAACAAAACCAAGATTTTTATAGGCTTTACTGATAACATAATCAATGTGTTCGGATAGTATCATTTTATGATCAAAATTTACGCCTAAATCCTTAACACTTAGTTTTCGGCTTATTTCTAATCCATCAAAGTGATATTTATTTAGAATTAGCTTAGATGTCCGTGTAAAACTAATACATTCGCACTTGCCTGCATTAACAGTTATTTATTTTGTAGTATTCAAATAAACAGTCCAGGTCTTTTTGTATCAATAGGCAGTCAGGTATGGTGTTAATTTTACAAAAAATCTTCTTATCATCTGCATACATGATATAATTTGTGTGTACAATGCACGAACCAATGTCATATAGGTAGGCATTGTAAAAAAGTGGACCCAAGTTAGAGC